GAGTTTAATGGATCGCAATCCGCCTACTCCAAGAGTAATTATTGCCTTACCCAAGGCTAATTAGCTCTTCCGTTTAAAATCCAAAACTTATTTTTATCTGCGGCAAAGCCGCCTTATTTTAAATGCTTAGATTTTCCTAAAATATATCAAATACTTTTTAGTAAAATCTAAATTCATGCATAACTACTGGCTACCTAGCCACATACCGTATACTAGTTTGGGTGCAGTCACACCATGCCCATCTCGTGTGACACACACACCTGTTACCACGGTACGTGTAACCCCGTTACACGAACACTGTACTATACGGGCAAACTAGAGCCATACCACATTTTCGCGTTTACGAGTCAGCCAGATTTTCCATGGCAATGCTAAAAAAATGAATCCAAAATTTGGCTTATCTCACTTTTGATCGCACACCGGTAGATTAGATTACGGTCGAGATGACTCACGGAAGCCAGCCACGGAGTTTCGACCTCCACAGGCACCGCTCGGTGAGCAAGGATGCAACGGGGTTACACCATCTTGTGCGACCGTACATTGTCGTGTATTACACAAGTAAGTGTAATCACACAGTGGTGTGGCTACACCGTAACAAGAAGCGCAGGATTGCCAGTAGTACTGCATATTGCTATAGTAATTATTTAGGTTAGGTTTTACTATATTGACTAGGTATTACTATATCAATTAAGAAAACCTAAGGATTTGGGTATTGGGAAGCAGTCACTTCAGTATTGTGTTTGCATTGTTCACACTCACGTGTGGTCCACATTTTAGTGAGAATACACTATGTTCTCAGTAAAATTTTGAAATTAAAAACTTAACTTTTTACAAATGTAATCTTCAATGCACCCTCTTTTCAGTTTGCAACAAAGAGTCAGCTTGCAAAGAAAGATTGCTAAAATTTTAACTGACATTCGGCTAATGCCCGTCGTAAGCTAATGTCAATTACATGCAAAATTCCATTTGAAGTGTTTTAGTCATAGCGAAGTAAAGGAATTTCTGCTCAGCGACTCTTTCCCTTAAACTTTATATGTGCAGCGCCTACACAATTGACAGCAACCACCAATTACTTTGCACGAATGCAAGAAATATAAATCACCATACTGCGACTTACTTAATTAATGTGAAGGCAAGGCGCACCATATTTATAAAGGCATGAGCAGCATCATAACCAACGAACTCACACGAAATGTGCCTTTTTTTATGCATTAGGACAGTTCGCCGAGACCTTCCAAACAAGCCAAGAATATACTCAACACAAGGAATTTCTTGCACCTTAAGCTTGTTCTCAGTGCTAATCAAAGTCTTAGACAAGGAATCGTACTTCGTTTTCAGTACTCCCATCGACAGTCAATACATGGTAAGCAACCCTTATGTGTAACAGGAGACAGTCCTACTTGAATACAGATACGATGCTTTTTTGGACATGCCAGTAATAACGATGGCCAAGACTGAAATGTACACAAGAATCATTCATCCCCTTCGACAGAGTGATCAAGTAATGTTAAAATGCTTCAAAAAGAATGCGATGCCCATGAGCCCACGTCAAAACAATATGGCCGTCCAAAAAGTTGCCCTCAACTGGTCTGACTCGATTGAATTCATATTCGTTCAACTAGATTCTCCAAGATGTCCTCGTCTGTGAGACGACTTGACCAATAGTGAAATCTGGACCAGATACATGCCTTTTCGACGACGAAACTAACGTTACTGCAAGACTTGTATTGGGACACGCCTTTTCGTCGACAAAGTCAACGTTTTCTGCAAGATTAAAATGTTTATTGAGTGTCCCACCTCGAAACCTCCAACTTGCATTGATGTGCGGTTTACATGCTATTAGAAGAGTTGTGCTTTTAAATTTTTCGGTGCCAAAGTGATCGTCAACGATGACGATTCCATGCAGAGCACGACAATTGAGCGCAGGGTGGTGAGTTGTGAATCAAATCAAAAAAGGCCAGGAGTTCGCAGCTGCTGTGTCTTGAAAAAAGGCAGCACACTGTATGGCTATCAGATGATAATCTGGAAATTAAGAACGAATGGCTGTATTGTGGTCATAAACTCTACATTGAAAAAAAAATAAGAAAAGTCCGCCTCTGTCATAGTTACTTGCTTGATATCAGCAGCTGGATTCTGTTGAAAAAAAAGACTAATCAGCTCAGCTTTTCTTGTGACGGATCAAAGTAAAACATAATGAATGTTTACAGATGCAATAGGTCGAGTTTCCTCTTTCATGTCATAAGACAGATATATGCCAAGTCACAGGTATTAACGTCTTGTCGCTTTGACAGACGAGTCGAATAAGATGCGCATCGCTACTGTATCGCAATTTCTTCACCCAGTTAAAAAGAATAAATGGTGCTTGAATCTACTTGTGTCTACTTTTCTTATGTCTTTGAAATGCGCTCTTCTGATCTTCTACTTGTCTTAGATTGAAACATAGTCGCAATATTCAAGAGCTCACATTACCCAGTACACGGTGAGACGATAAACACCATTTGAAGTCGTTTTCCCAATCGCATATAAACTGTATCTGTCTGGTGAGAAACAAGACTTTGAACCACTGTCAGCAGAAGCGCCACAAGTGAGAAAATATTCAAAGGAGCCCCCCATAAGACTCGTGTCAGGAGCGGTGGTGGGCATTGAGCCCCAATCTGTTCACTTTATCACAGAGATGCGGCGGCTGTGGGATCGTAAAGAGCATCGCGCCTCGCAGTCTCTCCACTTGAGAAAAGAACTTGGAAGCATCCACCAACACAATTTCTTAAAACATTTAAGTTGGATTACACCGATACAGAACAGAGTACCACTCAATAACGAACGTGCCAAATGACCGCACGATCTCCTTTGCCACAGCAAATGTCGACATCATCTCTCACAGACCGGACACGTACAACATCCGGGTCTGCCTTTACTCGTGCAGAACTTACACGTCGTTTAACACGACAAGTTTACATCGGAGTGATGGAAGTAACACCTGACGCCGTCGGAATAAATAAATCCAGTCTCGGGCAATGTACGGTCGGGGTAAAAGTACGGCCGCTTACACTTGACTCGGATCGCAATGGTGGACAGCGCACATGGCAGGAATGGCGTACGGTTCAGAGACTTTTGGCGCTTGAGCGTGAAGCTGACAATTATTTACTTCGAGCGTCATCCGCACTTAGCAGGAACAATAGCAACGTCGCTGGTCGCAGTGTCTTAGCTGGTCGGCGCCACATTGTTCGTTACTACGCTGCGAGCGTTGGGAGCGAATCCTTTCGTCTTATAATGGAATACTGTCCTGGTGGTGATTTACTCTCGCAGTTAATTACTCGAGGGGCATTAGGACCTCAGCCATCACAACGCATCTCACAACAGGAAGCACGTCGCTGGGTTTTACAGCTAGCACGTGGTTTACGATACTTGCATGCATGCGGTATTGCCCATAGAGACTTGTGTCCTGAGAATATTCTCATTAGTAGAACGGGCGACGTCAAGATTTGTAACTTTGGGGCTAGTACTACACGAGCAGCAGAACTTTCACGTGATCGCGTAGCTGGTAATTTACACTATACAGCTCCTGAAGCCGTGAGTGGTACGTGGTATGATCCCGTGCGTGCCGACGTTTGGTCACTGGGTGCGGTATTCTTCGTTTTATTGACGGGATCACCGCTTCTACGACTTCCATTCCCAGAGTGCCGTGGTTTTGAACTTGTCAAAACTGTGGGATGTCGAGGTGTGCTGAAGCTCTGGAATATGGACAATCTCTTTTCTGCTGCAACGTTGGATCTACTTGCACGAATGCTCGTGGTAGATCCAAGCAAGCGACTTAAGAGTATGAAAGAAGTATTGGAGCACCCTGCAATGCTAGCTACAGCTTACACTGAGCATAGCCTTATTGCAGTTTGAAAAGACAAAGTATCTATTGACATGTAGAAAGAGAAGTAGGAAGGCATTCTAATTGCGCAGCACCGAATTATTAATAAAAGCGCTCATCAAAATTTCTCGATACGTTCGTGTAATTTATCGCAATCAATTTATTAAAAAAAGTATCGATAAAAATTTTATCTTATTTAAATGTAATTTTCTAAACTTGATTAAAGATCTAAAACAAATATTGCAAAGGTGAAAGAAAATATACATACAAATGGGTAAACTATCAATATGTATGGGCATATATGTCGAAAGGTACCGCGATCGAAGAGTTAAAGTTTCCATCTGACACATCACATGCGCTTTAGTATGTGGTGTAGCGACTCAATGCTTATGGTTGGTAGTTTGGGTTAAGCAATTGTTTGAGGCATCTCGCGAATGTTTGAGGTATAAACACTTTGTCGGATCGTGAATTGATCCCTTATAAACCTTCGTTTCACCTGGCATTAGGTGCAATTGCATTGCCGTGACCGTCGCACAGAAGACTTTTTGACTTACGAGTTCGCGCTAACAAATTTACAGATGTTTTGTTCAGACATTCAAGAGAGCCTTTTAGCTCTGCTAATCTAGGATACTATTCAATATAAACGTTTCTTGAATGTCATAAGAAACTGCCTTCGTTTTCTGACGTACTGCTAGAAGCCAACGCATATCCTGGACCTCTTGCAGTGTTCATAAGTATCTACAATTATACAAAAGTACAATATGATTTGTTTCAATATTGTATATACCAAAAAGTGGTAATCCCAGAATTTCATTTTAATGAAAGGAATGACAACATCTCATTGTAAGGCCAATTACGTATCAAGAGGCTCTTGCATTAAAGTGCTGTACCTGTATTGGTGGACGATTTCAAAATTTATTGCACCTTTAATGCCACCATGGACGCAAAAAGCTTTGCATTGGGACACCGACTATTTCGAATTCTCACCGTTTTCAAGAAATTGAAAACTTTCTTTAGTGTATGGATTTTCAAAGTTTTGGGAAAGGAATGATCAACAAGGTAATAAATGTTGGCTTCCTGCGTAATTTTCGGATCTTTCAGTCGATATCTTGAAAAATTTCTTATTGATTTCTGATGTCTCGGGTAGCAGGATCGATGCTGATAGCAATTAACGTTTCAAATAGCTTCATGTTTTAAGATGATTATCACATACAATGATTAGCTCTACACTTCCATACTCTTTCATGATCTATATCTACTAAAAAGCATAAAGTAAATGACTGTGCTGAATTATCTTGCCAACAGTACGACCGCTTTGCATAAATCCAGACTAGTTTGTGCGTAAAATGGCTATCCATAACATGCGCTTTAGTAGCATGAGGCTACTGTTTGCAGTTATGCGCTTGCCCGTTTTGAAACCGCGGCTCCTTCCTTGTGAGCTAGTGGTGTCAAGTAGAAGCTTTATGCCTTCATCAACTCTTTGACGGCACTAATCCAATGAAAGGCGATAAACATGAAAAATGCTCATCTTGGCTACCATACGCAGTCTAGTTCTCCGGGCGCATCCCCATATCCCAGTCATATGTATGCAGAAGCGCATCCTGCACTCGATAAGAGTTATCCAAGTACACCAACCGATCTTGGACGAGCTGCACTACACTATCAATATCGTCGAGTGTCATATCATGTGCATCATTCTGAGTGGTTCCGATATGAGCAGAATAGTCTTGACCAAGTAGTCGCGCTTGCGACCAAAAGCACGAATTAAAGAACTTTTTAGGATTTGGTATAATCTCAATTACAGCAGTGCGCGGCTGAGCGAATCGAGAATTGTAGAATGCTGCACCATGTGGACCAATCA